CTTTCCCTCCCTGCATGGATGGGAGTTGGGTGCTGGGATGTGCCACAACACCTTTCGTCAGCAATTTGTTTTTGGGGGCTGTTTTCTGCTTGCGGAGCATTTGGAGCACGCTGCACCCAAGGCAAGCAGGGGAATGGTGCACAACTTCACTGACCAGAACAAGTTCCCTGCCTGGGGCTTTGCTCCAAAGCCTGTTGAAACCAGAAAGGTTTTTCCACCTCCTGACTGGGCATTGGCGCAGGCCCGCTGCGGCTCTGCTGGTTTGTGGTGTGCTAGCTGGAGCCGCGCTGGGTTCACGGCGAGGTGCAATGATGCCCCTTCTTCCCACACAGCTGCCTGAAGGAGGACGGGGGGAGGATGATTTGTTTGAAAACGAGCTCACCACCGTGTCCCAGCTCTGCCCTGCAGCAGGAGGAGATTATTTCCACCAGCAGCCTCCACAAACCTAGCACATGCTCCCCAGCCTGGACATGATTTGGCCATAAAAGGATGCCCGGGCTTCGGTCCCTGAAGCCATGCTGCTCCAGCCCCGTGGAGCAGCAGCACAGACAGACAGAGATGGACAAGGTACAGTCTTGAAAGCACCCAAATGACACGGAAGCTGCTGCATCACTTTAAAAAGAGAATTTTGCAGCAATCCCCTGATTTGCACAGCAAGCACCAGACACCACCTACTTGTGCGAAGGTGGGTCAGACCCCTGCGCGCTGCTCCAGCTCAGCAGCACATCCGCTTCTCACTCACGCTGGGGGTGAGCCGCAAGCGCCAATGCTGTGGGGTGCTGCGCGTGCCCTCCCTGCCCTGAGCAGGGTGCAGCACCCTCCTCGCTCTCACATTCAAACCCAGGTACCCGGGGAAATGAAACTGGGGGAAAACCCCGGGAAGCAGAAAGATGATCTTATTTGAGTGAACCTGAATTTCTGTGGAGCCAGATCAGCCGTGGGAGTTACCATGTCAGAAAGGAGATGCCACTTTGGAGTTCACTGCCAGCCCCTCTCACAGGAGGGTTACACTGCAACCTGTGGAGGCCAGCCGATACCATCGGACCTGATCTCCTCAGGCTTCAGCTGTCTGGACTAACGAGGACTGGAGCTCATTGGCTCCTTTTCACACCTTTGCCTCCTCCTCTCTCAGCTCTGCACTGGCTCCGCTATGCCTGCGGCAGCAGCCCATCATCAGCCAGGCCAGATCCATCCTGAAAGATGGCTGAGCAAAAGGGAGGAGGAGCACAGACAGATCCAGGATGAGCAGAGAAGAGGGACACAGGCAGGCTTCTTCTTTTAGGGTGGATGTCACCCACAGCCCTGGGACAGACCCCAAAGGTACTGCCCAGTGGAGCTGTGCTCCAGCCCCTGCTGGCTCTGATGGTGGAGTTGGTGCTGATGCTGTGGGATGGGATGGTCCCTTTGAGGCTTGAGGACATCCCAGCTTGCACAGGCTGGACCTGGGGCCATGTGTGTCCCCACCCCAGCAGGCACCCAAAGCCCTCGTGTGGCTCACAGGGTGCCTGCTGGGATTTGTGGGATTGCAACAGGCAGAGGTGATGGGCCGCCCCCGGGGACAAGTGCCAAGTTCAGCCCTGGCTGGCCCCGCTCCCTCGTGACAGTGACAAGAGGGGAGGGGGCTGCATGCTGGAGAAGGGCATTGAACCTGGCAGCGGGAGAGACGTGGGATGGCACCTCCTGGGCATGGCGGTCAGAGGCTCCCAGAGAGGTCCCCAACCACCTGGACACTGAGCTGCCACCTAGGATGGGTGCAGGGGCAAACAGCACCCTCGTCGCCAGCCCGCCCTGCCAAGCATGGACATGCACCCTGTGTGGGCTCATCTCCCCTCCATCACAAACACCAAATCCACCCTAAGGCCCAGCCTTGGCAGTTTGCAGCACGCCATGCTGTTTGGGCAGCAGTACCAGCGGGCCGGGCCAGGCCAGGGCTCCTGGCTCCTGCCTGGGGGCATGGAGCGACCTCGGGCAAATTTATCTGCTTCTCTAAAATTCACCGTCCTTGTAAACTAGAGGCAACCACCTCCCCGGGCCAGGTCTGCCATGGCAGCCCAGGGGTAGCCTGGCATTTCCCACTTGCCCAGGGCTGCCAGATGCTTGCCATGAGGCTCCGTGCCCCATGCCATCTCCCCACCCTCCAGGCCTTCACCACTGTCAGCTTCCCAAAAACACAGGGCAGGCTCAGGAGCCAGATAAGCCACTTAGCAGCAGTGCCAATTAGCTGTAATAAAAAATTGCAATTAATTTTTTTTAATGCCTTGCCAAAACGAGCCAGAAGAGATGAAGTGAGCGGGGCAGCCTGCCACCTCCATAGGCCAGGCTGAGAGCTGCTGTGCAGGGACCAGTGGTGGCCTTGGGCTCAATGCTCGGCTCCTGCCTGGGGACATGGTTCTCCACAGCCTTCTGCATCTCAGTTTCACTGCCCCAGGGTGCAGAGCAGTTTTTTGCACGGGTCTTGCTTTTGTTTTAAGGGTAGGGAAGTGGGGAGCCTCTCTGCTGGGGAAGGGATGGGTTTTTCCTCCTCGGGAAGGTTTGGTTTCCCCAGGTCCATCATGGGAGGATTAGTTGTGGCCACCACGAAGAGGGGTGCATGTCAAAGCAAAAATCTTTGTGGCGGTGAGACAGCAGGAGACGGTGGTACCCAGGGACAGCACCTGGGTGTGCAGCCACTGCGAGGAGGGGCTACGACCCGACAGCGAGGGGTTCAGTTGCTCTCCCACAACATCTCGGGGTCCCCCCAGGCCCTGTGCTTGGCTCGGGGTGGGAGTAGCAGCTTCTGCCCCAGGTCCCAGCCCTGCCCTGGGGACGAAGTGGGCTCAGCCGCAGGGTCTCTGCTCACGCTGTCCTGCCCATCCACGTGGATGGCATGACTGCTGGGCCGTGGGGGAGAAAAGGGGTGAGTTCAGCTTGGGAGAAGGGGGCTGGGCGGCTGCAGCCCCTGCACACGCTGTGGCATCACCCAGTCCGCTGACGCCCGCAGTCCTTTGGTGCGGCGGGGGGGGCCAAGGGCGCCGCGGGACGCGTGCGGGTCGCAGGGCGGCAGCAGGCACACCTCGGAGGAGGAGCAGCGCTGCCTTTCTCACGCTAGGGCAGCCCTTGCCAGCACACGCTTAGTCACTGGTAAATCCCAGCCTAGATCTGCTCTGCCCTCTGTGAAATGGATCTTGGCTGCACCCCCGCTGAAGCAATCCCGGCGCTCGGGAGCCATGGCGGGCGCGCTTTCCCACGGCAGCCCGGCTTCCAGCGCCCTGTGTGAATCAGCCCCTTCCCGGGCAGGCGCTGGGTGCCCCTCGCACGGCACACGTGCAGCCAGACGGGCAAAGCCAGGCGAGCACAGCACCACTCCAATCCCCCCGTTGTGCCGGCTGCCCACTTGGCAGGAGGGCTGGCGAGGACAGTGCTGAATTCAGGCTCTCTGGGATGGGGGGGGTCAACAGATGTGACATCTCCCCCTGCGTCCCTACGGGGGCTCTGCTCACCAAGTCCACGTCAAGGATGAGGCGTGGGTGCAACCCATCTCAGACAAAGCGGTGGTCCCCGCTGTGGCCCCTCACTGTTGTTCCCTCTCCCTGCACCCATCTGGGCGCCCTGACTGAGGTGTCATACCCTGGTGCCGGGCACCATCACCCCCATAGCCATGTGCTCCTGCCCCAGGACCTCATGCCAGCATCCACCGCACCCAGAGGAACACTCTGCAGCCCAGCCTGCTCCGTGACGTCACCACCGAGAGCTGTGACACAGGGATTAGGAGTGATGTCATTGTACCGGGACCCTGATGTCACGTCTCGCTGTGATGTCACAGCAGGAGAGCTGACGTGGATCTCTGTGCTGCTGTGGTCCCTGAGCCTGGTGAGGCGCTTGTCCCCAAAACCCAGCAGGCTGAGCCACCCTGGCCGAGCACGCAGCTGCCATGCAGCGAGGCTGTCCCTGCCTGCGCGGCCGAGGAGGACAAGGGAGGTGAAATGTCCTGTTGCAATACTGGCAGCCTGTCCAGTGGCTT